TATAAATTTGATACAAAGCAGGGATATCTAATATGGCAAATCTTCACTTTTATACTAATGACTGGCTTCTGGTAATGTTCAATTTTGATGAAAGATTGGCTGATGTCAGTCATTTCACATCAACTAGTGAAAAGTTAGAGTTGGTAGAGAGGACCTTTGCCTGTCTTGATCATGGGGACTATATATGATTGCGGATGACCTTAACTTGAAGATTACTGGGTGTAACCTCTGAGATGGTCACTTGACAAAGACAGCCTGCTCACATGGGGTTACATAATTGTTTATGATATTTTCACAAGGACAATCCAATTCAACAAAGAGCTGATGATATCAGGCCTAATGACATGAAATAACCAATCAGATGAACAGACCAGGCTAATTACCTGGTGAACCAGATTAATGAGTGGATTAGGATGTTATCCAAACCAATTCATTTCCACAGGTGGGGTTAAGCAAGTGATTGTAGGGGGAGGGAGCTAACAGGCCACTTTGGTGATGACCCATCTGCCTCCTCAATACCATCTTTGGATGACTGAAAGACATAATTACAAATGGGACTGTTTGTTTGAAATGGCAATTGAGCGGACAAGTGACGTGGTCTAATCCATTTCACATGTTTTGCACAAAATATGACTGATTACAAATCAGTGGAGCAGAACAAGATTTAAAATTGATGATGCAGGCCAGTAAATAAGGGTTCCTTACACAGGATTTATTATGGATTGAATTGATTAGACAGCGTAAAGAAATCATGAAGGAAGTTTGTTATGACTTGCAGAAGTTCACTAGAGACACACCAGCAATATAGCTAAGAGAAATGCCTGATGTGTTGAGAGAAACAAAAAAGACTTTTAGAGAAGATGATTTCAGAGGATTCAATTTCCCTCCTGGAAAGATTCTTCTGAGGTGTCACTTGCATCAGTATAACAAGAAAACTAACCTTGGATAAATGATAACATGTGGCAAAAAGCAAGCCACACATTTCTAAGATCTATATTAGAAAAATCTAAACCAAGCTGGTCCACAACTTGTGAAGCAACTCTTCATTAAACTTGTGTGGTGTATGTTGAAATAATTCCTCCTCGTTGGGGTATAGTTGTTCTGAGAGCAAGTCAAGATCATGGCTTGGTACTGAAAGTAGCTGATCAGTTGTTGTAAAGTTTTCTGGATTGCTGTAAGAGAATTTTGGGCTGACACCAGTTGGAAGACTAGTGACTCTATCAAATTGTTTTTGGTAATGAATGTATGAGTCCACCCAGATATTGACACTCTTTTGGAACACTGGTGTCCACAGGAATAAGAAAAACAGCCTACAAGCAATTGATCAGATTCTTGTTTGGTCGTGATGTGTAGAAAAGAACATGGACTTACTTTTGAACACCATCCTCTTGGTCATAACGGCCACCATCAAGTTCATTCATTATGTTGTGTCTGATTGATTGATTATGCTGCTTCCTCATTTGGGACCACAGTAATTCAATTTTTTTGATTGTGAGTTGATTCTGGTGAAGTGCATGCAATCCACTGCTTGCTTGGTGGTAATGCCAGCGTAAGTATGAGACAGGCACATTTGGAGCTTAGCCATATCAATGGCTTTGGTACCATAGTCACTGGTTAACTTGAGTGGCAATCCACCAGCCTTTGATGCAAGATGAAGAAAGTAGCAAGCAATATGGCGGGGGTCGTTGTAGATAACATGAACAAACATGCCTAATATCTCTTCTGGGACCAAGCATCAATAAATCCATAGATTAGGGGGTATTAACTATTGGAAATCCACCATCAGAAACCAGTTACTTTTCCAAAAACTTTTTTTTTCCATAAATGGGTCCCAAAAGGGTTTAAATGGATAACCAACATCTTCAAAAAAAGGTGGATTTTTTCAAACCAGTCAATTAAATAGCGGTGGATTTGGTTATATTTGATATCCCCTATTGTGATGCCAAATGGCTTCAACTTATCATTCCCATGACAAGCTCAAATATGATTGGGGCCTAGAGTCCAATGAAGACTTTTTTTACAAGCTTGATGGAGTTGCAAGGCCGTTCCATTGGGATTGATTTCTTTAAGGGCATCATAATAAACAATTTGTCTAGTTCCAAACAAAAACACATGTCAATAATGAATTTATGGAAAGGGTTAATAATGAAATGAAGATATAATTACTAAACAGGGAAATCTAATATCATAATGCCCAATGAGTATCATTGTCATCCTACAATATCCTGCATTGTTTTGGAGAAGATTTTCTTGTGCATTGGTTATTGCTTCACAATTGATGGTGACTTTGCCGTCCAAAAGATTGTTTTGGGGTAAATCAACACCAAGCTTCTTCATGTTGCGTTGAACAGTACAAACAGATACTTCAACACCAGTCTCCTTGTATAAAGTCACTTACCATTGGGACAACCTTCAACAAGCATCTCAAAGGACTAGGCTTTCTACTGAATTTTGGGGCTGGCTATTGCGATGGTTCTATGAGCCTAATCACATCCTCTGAAAACAATCACCACAGAGACATCCTTCCTTTGGTGCAATCCAGCTCATTGTGAATTGTTGGCAAGGAATCCTCAAGAACATTCAGGACCTGGAATGGCTCAAGAGGACGCTTGACCCTATTTTAGGATATGGCATGATATCACATCCCAAGACCAATCACCTCATCAAGGAAGTACAGGAGGCACATCATCATCAAATGAAGGCTTATGTTTTCATCTCCAGTCTTGCCAATCCTTCCAGCACCCTTCCTCATCTATATCACATTCTCTGGCAGGTCATAGGCTCATTGGGTCATTTCCAACCTCATCAGTTCCATGAGTTTATGCTGAAAATATCCAGATGTTCCGATTTCCATAAATCAATTGGATTTTTTCAACCACAAAATTCAACATGTTCATCAGTCTTGATTTAATTTATGGAATGGTCAGATATTTATTTGCTATACACAACTCCAGGAAAGACTGGGAACAAATGTATAAAAGGGCTAAAGTAATTAGTAGAGAGATCATGGGAGCCTTCTGTGGTGCAATAAGAACTTGAACATTTGAGTGGTGATTGTGTTTTTTTCAAGTTCTGACACTCTGCCTCCTCTTAATTGTCTGCAATGAAGTGTCAATTGTCTATAATGAAGGAGGAACATTAACCCTGGAGGCCAAACAAATTCTTTGGCTCCATGAGGGAAACAGGAAAAAAATGGCCAATAAAACAGATAAATTTTCACTTACCACATGCATCTTGTCAAGTTTGCTTATAGGTTCCATGTCCTCAGCAGAATCAGCTATTGAGGCAGTAAAGTGATTGTATCCAACTTTGGTTGGAGACTTTCAGAAGCCCAGGCAGCTTTGGCGGTCAAAGGGTACTCAAGAAAGAGGCTGAAGATCAGAGGAACTTACCTCTTGCCATTTTGAATTAAGCAGGAATGGTCATTCTTTGGCTAGGTGTTGCATTAGATCACAAAGCAGTTTTACAGTGAGTTGATCCATTAATTAGGCTGGTTCACGTCTGAAGTTCAAGGTAACTTTCAGCTTTTTTAGGGATGAAATTTTATGAATTTTGTCAAATCTCATGAATCATGAGGTTTGGAGGAACTTGAGATTTTTGACAAACTTGAAAAATTATAATGATAAATGCCATAAAACTTGCTCCAAAGTTCAGATGTGAATCGTCCTATGAGGACAGTTCACGTCTGAGCTTTGAGGCAAATTTAATGGCATTTATCATTAAAATTTTACAAATTTATCAGAAATCTCAAATTCCTCTGAACTTGATGTTTCATGAAATTTTACAAAATTCATAAAATTTTCTCTTCAAGCGTGCTAAAAGTGGCCTTAAGCTCCAGACGTGAACCGGCCTATTGTGTGAAAGATAACTCTGTGCTTCAGATAGTACATCCAGTTGCAAAGAGGAGATTTGTCCAATGTTCAGCATGGTCAGAAGGGCTCTGAGAGGATCCTTCAATTGGCTCAAATAACAGGCCACCTGTTTGGAACTCATGGACTCAGCCATTCACCCCCTTTAGAGTTGCTGAAATGATTGTCAGCCTTAAAAGTTGCTCACCCAAACTGTGTTGCCACAGGAGTCACCTCAGTTAAAAATACAATGACACCTGTTACAAACCGGCTGGGAATGGCTCAAGCATCATATGAATTGCTCAAGGGTTCATGCATGCAAATCAAGCTCACCAGGATAAGTGTGCGCAAGATGGTTGCAAGAATGCTTTCAGTGATGGTTTATCAGGGTTCCTCCAATTTTCCAATGAGCTCAATTGAGACATTCAGAATTAGAGGGCCATTACACCCAGGACAACCAAGAGGGCTTCAATTCCTCAGAGAAGTAGAAGGAAAAAATGTTGGTTTGATGAGGAGTATCAAAATCAGTTGACATCCATTCAAGTTGACCAAGTCTGTCTCTTGATTGTTTCATTATTCCTTTTGTCTGGTTCCTCCAGGTGTTGGATCTCTCACATTCAGCTATTTTAAAAAGGATATTGTTGATCAGGTGAGTTCTCAAAACCATAACACTGGCTCCAAAGACTTGGTTTCATCACTGCATGTTTTTTTGTCTACAGGGATGCTTATCTTTAGAAGCATGTCAATTTCATGTTGGCCACTTGTTGTCAGATAATCAATCAACTTTAAAGAAATGTTTGCAATTGAGAGGATACTTTTATTCCTATTGAGGATTATCAATCACTTGAATAATTCACCCATACCCCTTGGTGGACCAATTTAGCTATGGGTTAACAGTGAAAGTCATTATTAAGCCATGAAATCATGAATCAATAATGACACCCTGTTAGACCATGATTTCTATGAGTGAATGATGTCTATGGCTCTCTTATCCCATGTTATACATGGGATAAGAGAGAGGTATTTTAGTGACTGCTTGCTGAGATAGGTGGAATTATGTATTGCAAAAGAGTGTTTTTTTGATGCTCCCAATAAAAACATCACAAATATTCAAGACATTCAAACTGCAGGCATTGATGAAAAAAGAAACATAGGGACTGATAGGGATAGAACAGAAATCAATTGGAATTGACTGGTTGGAAAAATGAGGTGATTGTTGTGTGTTGAGCTGGATCAATAAGTTTCTTTGAGTAGATTTCCATCGATTGGTTGAGTTTATCGGCAATCTCACTTGTGTCACTCTCATGTAGTATTTGATGCTTGAGATGGCCTTGAAGACCTCTTTTGCAGCTAGCTTAGCACAATTCCCTTGTTCCAGAGGGACCCCGGCATGCCGGAGGCACCTTGTGGAGCGAGCCTCTGGAAGAGGCTCTTTGGAGGCTTTCTTTGCAAGGGGCGCTTGCGCCTGCCAGGCAACCTGGCCTGACAAACTGAGGGGCTTTGTTAAGCTAGCTTTTTCAGTTGGTTTAGGGTGAGGTGGGTCATCAGATCTACTTTTGTCATTATCATTGTTGTCTTCTTCTTTGGTTCTTACATCCTTGACCAATCAAAATATCTCTTTTGAGAAAGGAAATCAATCAATGAAAAATGCCTGGTGTGAGAAATGAGGTGAGCTCACAGCAAATTTCAACGACTTTTTGGCAAGAGAACCTAAAAAAGCCTGGGAAAAATATCCCTATTAACTCATGAAGTTCCGGCTTTTCCCCCAAAAGTGGTATGGGTTACAGGGCTATAGGGACTTATGGGTTAAGCCCAAATTTCCCTGCCCACCAAATCAGTGAAACAAATTTTCCATGGGTTATGAGAATCATGGGTTAATAGGTATATGGGGTAATAGGAAGTTGACTGTAAACTATTTTAAATCAATGATCAAATCTTTATTTTTCGCTGGAGGCAGGGAAATATTTCCTGGCAATCTGGAGATTGTTTGCCCAGTGGACAATTAGAGGGTCGCAATAAATGAGGATGCAGTATATTGATCTCTCCAATGGAGAGAGTAAAAGAAGTTATTCCTGGACCTCATGTCAAAAGGATTTTGATTGTTGAAAAGCATAGTTGAGGAGTTGATGATGTCAGAAACTAACTCAACCAATGCACACTTTATCAGGCAGTGCTCGTTGTATTGGCCAGAATCCCTCTGATAGAAAATTCATACACACAGATTCAACGTCCATGAAGGTCTCCTTTATCCAATTTCAAAGATGGATTATAGGGTATCAGATGGGGGACCTTAATTCTTCTTGAAGAATACCAGAATCCCACAAGTGAGGAATTGGAGTTTTGTTTTAGCATGATTTGTTTCTAATGAAGCCAAACAATCTTAGATTGATAGGAAGGAGATACAGGAACTTGTTGCTAGAGGCACAAAAGGGTGGACTGTGATTATCAATTCGTGCAAAACTCTTGGAGGATGTTTTTGTTGTAACCTACTGGCCTATCTCAAGAATATTGTTGGTGTTCAGTTTCATGTCAAAAA